GGGTCACGCAGAAGGAACGCAGGAATCTCAGATAGGACCGGTGGGGGAGAGTGCTGGCCGCTGTTCAAAAACTCAGCGGGAATTTCAGCAAAGGTACGGAGCTCCAAAAGTGCCCGACGATCATACTGAAAATATGACTCGGCACATTGCACAAACCATTGTAAAAATAACAAAAATAAAATACAAGCAGAGAGCGAGAGACGGGCAGCCCTACACACCGGCACCATCTTGAAAAAAAAAAAATGATGATGAGATGTCTTGGTTGTGTTAAAGACGTGATCTGGCTGCGGACCACCGGATCCGGAAACCCCCTCCAGCCCATGTCTTTACCCCCGGCTCGAACCTCCCTCAGAAGTGCAACTCATGCTAACAAATAAATCAAGGAAACGTCCATTGAGTTTTACCAATTATATTAAAAAAGGCAGAAGAAGACTAGAATTTCACAGCGCTGGACTCTACACAATCCTGTGACGCGTTCACAGAACCGGAAGAGCCCCAAAGTCCCGTGTCGTCACTCATTTATGGGGTCCTAGACTCCGCCTTTCGAAGAAGGGGAGCTCAGCCTATCAGTGTATGAGGGGGCATGACTAAGTGTGGTTTTATGTGTACTGACGTGTAAGGAAAACATGAGACGGTGCTTTAAAGCCTTCCTACGTGATGTGGCAAGCTGATTAAACTATTTCTTGACAGATATTGAATTATCAGGGAGACTCTCTTAAGAGTTTGCTGGCCCAGTTTCACCCAGTCAGAACCGGGTCATAATTTCATTATAATCCCATCTCTGAGCAGATCAAAACATAGGACCAGTCTAGATTAAAAATATCTTAACAACTCCCGCTGGGCGGGGGTCCCCGAAGGGGTTCCCTTGCATAAAAACTCCCAGTTCAATACCGCCGGATAAGCAAGCAATTAATCACTTTCTTCTGGTTGAATGTAAACTACTCCTTATATGTTGGCGGGAGATGCCTACAGGCTACAGCGTGTGACCTGGCAGCCTCAGGTCAAAATAAGATGTCAGAGCTGACGGCTAACGTGTGACCTGCCAGCCCTCAGGTCGCCTGACCCAGCATCTGGACATCTGCCTAGGAATTCAGCCTCTCCCTGGTGTGGTGCAATGACATAATGGAAATTTCTAACATTGGTCTAAGTCAGTTCTCTAAATATGATTTAATAGTTGCAGGAGGTGTCCTAATGCAAGTAAAGCGTTCTTATCTGAAAATGTTAATCAGTTTGTAGAACCTAATCTTCCTTTTTGACTCCAAGTGCCAGGCCTGGTCCATCGTGTCCATCTGAAAAAGAAAAAAAAAGAAAAAACTCTGTGCCCCCTTCCCTTTATCAATCGTGCCGTCCCTATTTTATTTGCACAGAGCGATGCCGGTATTTTTAGCCTGTCACAGCTGAAAAATGTGTTTGTGTGAATAAAAATCTAATTTAAACATTTTAACGTGTTTTAACGTGCATATGTATGTAAATAACAGAACCTCCCAACGCCCCCTGGTGATCTAATGAACGCTCCTACAAGAACCCTGCAGATGTTGGATGCTGTCTATCATGGTGCACTAAGATTCATAACTGGCTGTGATTATCGTACCCACCACTGCACACTGTATTCACTGGTTAACTGGACATCATTAACTTCACGCAGACTCTCTCACTGGTATATTTTCATCTTTAAATCACTTCTTGGTCTGCTGCCTTCATACATCTCCTCCTACATGTCTCTGCGTGAGTGCAGCTACGGAGTGCGCTCTCAGGACATTATTACCTGCAGTGTTCCCTCAATGAGGACTGAACTAGGCAAAAGGGCCTTCTCCTACTCCGCTCCTGTTTCCTGGAATATCTTACAAAAAGATTTGAAGCTCTCGACCTTGACCTCTCTAAGTGTCTTTAAGAATCTGTTGGACACCTGGCAGGGTCCAATGCTGACATGTTCCTGTTTTTAGTTTTCTACATTTGTCTTGGAATCTAGCTGTTTTTTGTTTTGTTACCTTTTCCTTTTAACCATCCTATTTGTTTAAAAAAAAAAAAAAAAAAACTAGTATGCTTTTTTTTTTATAACTGTTTATTGTTGTTGCTGTTGTCCATTGTTGTCATCTTTCTTTGTTGAAATCAGGTCTCTCTTGTAAATGAGTCCTCGAGGCTCAATGGGATTTACCTGTATAAATAAAGGTTGATTGATTGATTGATTACCAACAATTCCATTTACCCATGCCACCCTTTAATTTAATATCAACTTGGATTGAAAAGTGTCATAAGTTCACCCCCTGGAAAATCTATAGAATAAAAACCCATTTTATGTATGTATTATACTCCTCTCCAATGGCCCAGCTGTAAAAATTTGTTATTTCATAGAAAACAATGTCAAAGATTAAGTTTATAATCGCAATTGCACCATCTAGTGGCGTTATCTCATTATGATCAGCCCTTAAATTGCAAAGATACATTAAAATTTTATTTTTTACCCATATCTTCACACATAAAATAGTCATTAAATAAACAAATCATCAAGTAATAATTAAAAGTTAATATTTAGCTAAGCACCATGCAAATATATCTTGTTCAACCATGTTAAATTGAAGAAAAAATCATCACAACGCTCCATAATACTGTCAATAAACTGTAAACGTTAATATTAAATCCATCCCATAATTAGTCAGTCCAATAATCATCTCATTTCTCAAAGTAGTTGGAGAAGACCTGTCACCCAATTAATGCTGAGTTCAAAAATCAAATTAACCATAATTCTAAAGTACACATCTGTATTTAATTGTTAAAAATTTACCAAGAACGTAGCTTCACATATAATCACATCATTAATTGATTAGCATTGAAAACACAACCTATAAATATTAATAATTTCAAAACAATGTTCTATAATCATTTCTGTACATGTAAAAATCCAAAAATTCTAGTCTATCAATCATTTATTAACTCATAGCTTAATAAAATCAGCAAGTTCACTGTGTCAAAGTGTTTAATTGGCTAAAGATATATATTTAAAGACGCTCCTCCCTCTATGTTTAAAAGTAAAATCAGAAAATAGAAAACCCTTAACTGTGCTGGAAACTGTGCTAGGACCAGTCTAAATAGGAAATATCTTAACAGTTGACACACCTTTGCAAAGTCGCGTGGAAGTCGGGGGCAGTGCCACTGGACTGGTGGTTCCCCTCTTCAAAAAGGGGGACCGGAGGCTGTGCTCCAATTATAGGGCCATCACTCTCCTCAGCCTCCCTGGTAAGGTCTATTCAGGGGTACTGGAAAAGTGTGTCCGATCATTGGTCGAACCTCAGATCCAGGAGGAACAATGTGGGTTCCATCCTGGCCGTGGAACACTGGATCAGCTTTTTACCCTCACTAGGGTCCTTGAGGGGTCATGGCAGTTTGCCCATCCAGTCTACATATGTTTAGTGGACTTGAAGAAGGCTTTAGACCGTGTTCCTCGGGGTACACTGTGGGGGGGTGCTCCGTGAGTATGGGATTGGGAGCCAGTTTTTACAGGCTGTTCAGTCCCTATGCAAGCGGTGCAAGAGCTTGGTTCGCATTGCCAGCAGTAAGTCGGACACCGTCAGGGTGGGAGTTGGACTCCCCCAGGGCTGCCCATCGTCACAGATTCTGTTCATAATGTTTATGGACATAATTTCTCGGTGCGGCCAGCGGGAGGAGGGTTTCCGGTTAGGTGGCCTCAGGATTCCATCTCTGCTCTTTGCAGATGATGTGGTCCTGTTGGCGTCATCGTGCCGTGATCTTCAGCTCTCACTGGAGCGGTTCGCAGCCGAGTGCGAAGCAGCTGGGATGAAAATCAGCACCTCCAAATCTGAGGCCATGGTCCTCAACCGGAAAAGGGTGAATTGTTCTCTTCAGGTCGAGGGTGAGGTTATGCCTCAAGTGGAGGAGTTCAAGTATCTCAGGGTTTTGTTCACAAGTGAGAGAAGAATGGAGCATGAGATTGACAGACGGATCGGTGCAGCATCTGCAGTATTGCAGACTCTGTACCGGTCCGTTGTGGTGAAGAGTGAGCTGAGCTGTAAGGCAAAGCTCTCTGTTTACTGGTCAGTCTACGTTCCTCCCGTCACCTCTGTTCATGAATTCTGGGTAGTGACTGAAAGAATGAGATCGTGGATACAGGAGGTTGAAATGAGTTTCCTCTGGAGGGTAGCTGGACTCTCCTTTAGAGACAGGATGAGAAGTTCAGTTGTCAGGAGAGACAGAACCACTGCTCCACATCGAGAATAGACAGTTGAGGTGGTTTGTGCATCTGGTCAGGATGTTCCCTGAACGCCTCCCTAGGGAGGTGCTTTGGGCATGTCTGGCTGGGAGGAGACCCTTGGGAAGACCCAGGACACACTGGAGAGACTAGTTCTCTCTGTTGGTCTGGGAACATCTTGGAGTCCTACTGGAAGAGCTGGAAAAGAAATGTCTGGACCTCCCTGCTCAAACTGCTGCCCCCAAGACCTGAGTCCAGAACAAGAGGAAGATGATGGATGGATAATTGCTCAGTATTATTCCACATAACGTCACCTCAAAATGTCTGACCTATCCCTTCAACGTGTCTCAGATTAGAAAACATTTTAACAACAGATAAATACGACATATCTGCTATGTTGGGCAAAGGTGAGTTTTTTATTGCAGCATGGAAAAAGTAGGAAACAAAAAGCATCAAGGTCAAGTTAGTTTGAATTGTAGTCACACACAGGAGTGTGTGTGTGTGTGAATGTGTGTGTGGCTACTAATGCCAGTGTCTTTTGTTCAACTGAACCTGAAAATGATTAAGGAAAGCGAAACTTTAAGAGCTTAACTGTTATTTCTGTGAGCAAATTGTCAGAATCTCACAAGATTTCAAGGACATGATCTTTGCACCTTTGTCTGATGGTTGGAAATCTTTGAGGCTAAAATAAGTAGCTGACCAGTTTAAGAGCAGATAGACTGCAGCATGATGACTTAAAGCATCAAACATGTTCAGTGGAGACAGAGAAAGTGACATGAGAAACTCGGCAGGGAGACAAATCATTTATTGACATGTTTCAGTGCTACACCTCCACCATTTTCTGCCTCAGTCTTCTCCGTACAAAGTGCACAAACAAAGAACCACCACACAAACACATGAGCATGATATGAGACCAGGTACCACCTGATTTAATCAGGCGGACGTTAAGAGCTCTGAGAGAAGCTGGAGTGAAATGACGTAGAAAAGCAGCATCTGACCAAGTAGCAGCAGAATGAGGAGAAACTGGAACACATCAAGAGGGTGTGTTGGGAAGGCTGCTCTACTTCTCATGGTCCGCTGTTGTGACAAGACAGAGGTGGGTTCTGCTGTGACCACCAAGTTCTGCTAACAGCTATAGGTCCCGCTCCGTCTGATGAAACAGAAGGTGGGCAAAGTGGGTCGGGGGGAGAAGCGGAGGGTTGTGATTCAACCTCGTGTCTCCGTAAAGAGTTTGTCCAAAAACAAAAAAGACGTGAAGAGACCCTGTGAAGTTCAAAAGTTTGTCTGGAGAACAACAACGAAAGCTTTCCATGTGCTCAGAGTCTGAGTCCTGATGTCCACTCAGAGGCTCAGCTGGAGTGTGTGTGAGAGCAACGTTTGGTCAAACAGAAAAAAAACTAAACAACTAAATTAAGCCTCTGCTTTGCAGCTCTGTTGTTAAAGCCAAACGGAGGCTGAGCAGCACACCCACCATCCTTCTGAAGACAGATCAAGGAGAGTCAGAAAGCTCATCACAGCAGAAGATGGGGAAGGCAGAGTCAGTCCTCTCCAGTCCCTGTGGGTCTGCCAACACCATCTCTATCTCCTCCTGTCCATGACTGTCCACATGAAGAAGCTGAATGGAAGTTTGTCTGGTGATGGTGGGTGCATTTGTTTTAGGCAGGCAGACAGTACAGTGGCGCCCCCTGGTGCTGTGGAGAAGGAGAAGAGGGGGATGTGTGTCTACCGCTGAGCAGGCTCGCTGCCGGGCAGGGTGATGTTGCCCAGGTGGAGGACAGGAAGTGGGTGAGCCTCTGTGTTGAAAACCCAGCTCTCCAATGGCATCAGGTCATCGTTGGAGAATAGCAAGTACAGATACCTAAGGGAGAAGAGGTGGGATGGGAGGAGGCAGTTGGCAAAGACAGATAAGGGTTGAGAAGTTAGAGCGGGTAAGGAAGGTGAGGAAGAAGAAAGTAAATGACTGAACCAAACCAAACTGCAAATACAGAGCACAGAAAAAATACTCTTACAATAAGGCCCTATTTACATGGATACGATGGGGGAAACATGTTAATTAGAGTAAAAGATTTGCGTTGACATGGTCAGATTTTGGGTTTACATGTATCCGGAGGAAACAAAAAAAAAACAAAGGAAAAGGCCATTAAACCAGATCAGGGATGAAGAAGAGGAATTTAATACATTGGTGTCGCATACAAAACAGTCCGTCACCGGACAGTTTATTGGGTGACACCAAGGATGCTAGTGGGGAGTGGTGGCGCAGAGGTTAGAGAGATGGGCTTGTGATCCGAAGATCGCCGGTTCACGCCCCGGCCCCGACAACATCAAAATTGTGGGTGGGGTAGGTGAAGCACCCACACTTGCCCCCATCCTCATTCGCCCCACTCTGGGCCCATGAGCAAGGCCCTTAACCCCCATCTGCTCCCTAAACAGGTCTCTCTTGAAAATGAGTTCTCGTGGCTCAATGAGAATACCTGGATAAATAAAAGGTAAATGAAAAAAAAAAAATACGGTCATAAAAATTGATCTTTGCACAGACATGCCCTGCGGGCGTCTGCTTCGACTCTAATCCGGTACACGCGGACATCCACGGACTGACGTACGCCCGACTATGTGGGAGCCTTAAAGTGTAAACAGGACATGTATCCAACTTCCTCTTTCAGCTTTTCCCTCTTCAGGGGTCGCCACAGCGAGTCATCCTCTGAGCCATCTCACTCTGTCCTCACTCCAACTACCTCCATGTCCTCTAACTGTAAGGTCATAAGTCCAACAACAATGTAAAAATTCCTTCTGTAGTGGGTGCTAAAGCAAAAACATGCACCTTCTTCTAGACAGGACCAGCGATCATATTCTTCTCCTGGTTTCCTGCATCGTCTGTACTGTGATTTCCTGATGCATGCTCAATAATCCAGGTAGAAAAATCCAAAAAAGTTCAATCTGGTCCTCTGGACATTCAAAAAAACAAAAAACAAAACAAAGCAAAAAAAATCTAGAAACGTTTCGTCTCTCATTCAAGAGACTTCCTCAGTCTGAGGTGCTGTTTTCAGCTCAGTCTCTTACATAGCACCTTCTCAGAGTGGATCAACCAGTTTGCTGCTGACAACCAAAACCAGCTGATCACATGCTCAAGAAGGACCATCAGCCTAACAATGGGTCATTAGCACACTGATGGCTGTTTACTGTTCACAGAGGGTTGAGTGATACTAGCAATCACAGCATTGTAAGAGGGGGACAGTTGAACCCGGAGGCCTCCACCCCTGTTTAATGATGGACGATTTCTTTTCACAAAGATGGCCTCCTTTACTCCTCTCTCAAACCATCGTTCCTTTCTATCCAGGATGTGAACATCTTCATCCTTGAAAGAGTGACCGCTGGCCTGGAGATGAGTGTAGACCGCAGAGTCCTGGCCTGATGATGTTGATCTTCTGTGCTGGGCCATCCTTTTGGCCAGTGGCTGTTTAGTTTCCCCGATGTAAGACTGATCACAGCCCTCCTGACACTGAACAGCATACACAACATTACTCTGTTTGTGCCGGGGGACTAGATATTTGGGATGAACCAATCTTTGCCGTAATGTATTTTGGGGTTTAAAAGCCACTGGGACGTTATGTTTAGAAAATAAACGTCTCAGTTTCTCTGATACTCCCTCAACATACGGAATGACCACTGGTCTGGGTCTGGGTTCCTCCTTTTCACCTGATGGCTGACTGGAGTCCTGTTTGGGTTTCTTCTCTGCTTTCAGGAAGGCCCAGTTAGGATATCCACATTGCTCTAGAGCCTGTTTTGTGTAGGATTTCTCCTTCTGCCTGGCTCCCGAGTTAGTGGGGATGCTGTCTGCTCTGTGATACAGAGTCCTGATGACTCCTAACTTGTGCTCCAAAGGGTGATGGGAGTCAAACTGCAAATACTGGTCTGTGTGGGTGGGTTTGCGGTACACCTCGGTTTGCAAATGTCCTCTATCAGAGACTGAGACCTCACAGTCCAAGAAAGCCAACTTGCCATTTTTTACATCTTCTCGTGTGAACTTGATGTATTTATCCACAGAGTTGATGTGGTCAGTAAAATGTTGGATTTCCTGAGATGCTGGTTTTGGTTGTCAGCAACAAACTGGTTGATCCACTCTGAGAAGGTGCTATTTAAGAGACTGAGCTGAAAACAGCACCTCAGACAGAGGAAGTCTCTTGGATGAGAGACAAAACGTTTCTAGATTTTTTTTTGCTTTGTTTTGTTTTTTGTTTTTTTGAATGTCCAGAGGACCAGATTGAACTTTTTTGGATGTACTGTGATTGTTTGGTAAAAGTACATGAACACCCTTATTAAATAACATTTTCACCCGCCATAATAAGCTGTTCAGTTTGTATAAGAAATGATAGAGAAAACGGATGTGTTTACACTCGGTTAACAAACTGAACCGCTTTGATATGACTGATTCGCAGCTGACAGGAACAATTACAGGAATAGATACTAAGGACAGAAAAGGCTGCATAACACAAAAAGACTGAAATGCCACAGTCGGGGTGGAGGCTGACATTTCAAAACCTGCGCTCCAACATCAAATTCTGGAGACATTTGTTGCTTTGTGAGTTAAATCCATTGTGGAGGAAGACAGAGCAGCAGCCAGCAGGGCTGGCCATGACTGACTGAACAACTGGGAGTCAGCAGAGGGAGGCAGAGAGCCACCTTCACAATTCCCTCAGTTACAATCTGCTTTCGCTGCTCTGTGCAGTAACCAGACTTTACATCAGGTCATTTTCACAGATGTATACAATAAGTTCTTATTTTCTTCACTGCAGGTGTAAAAGAAAACACAGGTTGATTTTTAACAACTTACTTGAGCGTCTCAGCCAGGAAGAAGCTCTGCTGCACGTCATCATAGGTTGGACTGGATGAGTAGACGTCTTTGACTCCTGAGAAGCCTCCACTCACTCGGCAGTATTTATCAATGGCCTGAAGATGACAAGAATGGAGGCAGGGAAGAAAATAAACACAAATAATAATTATATAGAATATGTATGTATATATATATTTATATAACAGCAGCAAGCTTGATTGAAGTCCACGGTCACGGCACCAATGTAACAGTTGAGTAACCCGTCCTGTCATTAACACTCTCAGAGGCCGATGGGTTAGATGCGGTAGCACTTTACTGTAAATGAGTGGTTCAGAGCATAAACATAGCATGGTCAGCTCCTCTACTGGCACAAACATCACAGCAGAGCATTAGGAAGACTGTGAAGATTTTCAAATATCTGTTACAATGATTTTTAACAATATTCTTTTTAACATGTGATCGTATAGTGGTTTTAGCATTAATGTTTTACAATAAATCTAATACAATCTGTTTTAACCTGACATCCATTTTTTTTCAATGAAATAAGAAATTAGAAAAATAAATGGAGACAGCAGTTAAAATTAATTATTCAATTGCTCTACAACACCCTCTGGTGGTTCACATGCACGTTGTGTCGTCATGACAACCAACAGACATTGTGCAAACATAACTGACTTAACTCAGAGCATTTAGTATAACACAATTAATTACCCGTAAATGAGTGGTTTAGAGCATAAACATAGCGTGGTCAGCTTCTCTACTGACACAAATATCTATAAGAAAAATAACATCAGACATATCTAAAAAAGTTCAATCTGGTCCTCTGGACATTCAAAAAAACCAAAACAAAGCAAAACAACAAAAAATGTAGATACGTTTCGTCTCTTGCCCGAGACACTTCCTCAGTCTGAGGTGCTGTTTTCAGCTCAGTCTCTTACATAGCACCTTCTCAGAGTGGATCAACCAGTTTGCTGCTGACAACCAAAACCAGCTGATCACATGCTCAAGAAGGACCATCAGCCTAACAATGGGTCATTAGCACACTGATGACTGTTTACTACTCACAGAGGGCTGAGTGATACTAGCAATCACAGCATTGTAAGAGGGGGACAGTTGAACACGTAGGCCTCCACCCCTGTTTAACGATGGACGGTTTCTTTTCACAAAGATGGCCTCCTTTACTCCTCTCTCAAACCATCGTTCTTCTCTATCCAGGATGTGAACATCTTCATCCCTGAAAGAGTGACCTCTGGCCTGGAGATGAGTGTAGACCGCAGAGTCCTGGCCTGATGATGTTGATCTTCTGTGCTGGGCCATCCTTTTGGCCAGTGGCTGTTTTGTTTCCCCGATGTAAGACTGATCACAGCCCTCCTGACACTGAACAGCATACACAACAGTACTCTGTTTGTGCCGGGGGACTGGATCTTTGGGATGAACCAGTCTTTGCCGTAATGTATTTTGGGGTTTAAACGCCACTGGGACGTTATGTTTAGAAAATAAACGTCTCAGTTTCTCTGATACTCCCTCAACATGTTCCTCAAAAAGAATTTGATTGGTCTCATTTGACGTTCTCTGTTGCACTTTCAACATAAGCTCTCGACCTTGACCTCTCTAAGTGGCTTTAAGAATCTGTTGGACTCCTGGCAGGGACCAACGCAGACATGTTCCTGTTTTTAGTTTTCTACATTCGCCTTACAATCTAGCTGTTTTTTTTTAATTTTTTTTTACCTTTTTCTTTTAGCCATCCTATTTGTAAAAAAAAAACAAAAAAACGGAGTGGCATCAAGTTTTAGGAGTTATATTTTGTCATTTTTCAAAAATGGACTCAGCATGAGCAGAAGATGAGGCAGAAGACCATGGAGAATATTGTTTTTCACACAAGGCAGCTGACGGCTCCATATAAGGTCAGAGAAATGCGTGTTTGTTTGCCCTGCACTGTACTCCACTTCTTGCTTGTGGAACGGGGCCAGTCTGTTTACACTCACACTGCACTCGGACCGCGCTGGAGTTTTCTTCTACTGGACCGAGACCTAGGTTTTAGCCTGGGCCAGAGTTCGCCTTTTTGTTCCGTGACAGAGTTCGATGACGCGTTCACACCTCCCCAAACGAACCGGACTTTCTAGGAAAACGAGCTAGAGATTGATTAAAGCGGACTAAACAGGGCTGGTGTGAATGCACCCTGAGAAATCTGGACAGGGTGTTAAAAACATCTGTCAGAACTGACCAAGGCTGGGACAGGACCAGTACATATGAACCAGTGTGGCCTCAGCAGTTTTGTATTTGTCAAAGTATGGGGTGATTTCCGGATAGATACGAGACAGTTTGCTTTTGGAGAAGTGGGCTCTATGTACCACTTTAAACTGAATAAAACAATGGCGTGCACACAGATATGATGTATTAATAAGTTTAAGTATAGAAGTATAGAAGATAGTTAATCCAAGATGGCGCCAAGTACGGTTGCCCTGGCATTCTGGTGCACTCTGTTTTTTCAGTTTTTGTGCGTTAATCATGTGTTTGCGTGCTCCTACACTCGCGAGGAGCTACTAAACATCAGAATTACAACCCATGAGGATATTACTCCAGTTTTTTTAGTGCCTGCTGTAGAATTTGTGCACTTTTTGGCCAAAAGAGCGAGACTTCGTAAGAGGGGCAGAAGAGCCGGAGCGCTCGTGCGTCTCCGGAGGCGCGGTACACGCACGCCTTTACCTGGAATATTCCTCTCCAACGTCCGTTCCCTCTACAACAAAATGGACGAGATAGCGCTGCTGATGAGAAGGAACAGCGATTTTTCCTCCGCCTGTGTGCTGTGCTTCACGGAAACATGGCTCAACGAGCAGACCCCGGACTTCGCGCTCCATCTCGAGGGGTTCCAGCTCCTCCACGCTGACAGACAGCGGGAACTTTCCGGAGGAAAGAAAAAAGGCGGAGGAGTCTGTTTCATTATCAACAACGCCTGGTGCTCCAACGTGACAGTGATCTCCCAGCACTGCTCTCCTTCTCTGGAATATCTATTCATAAACTGCAAACCGTTCTACTCTCCACGTGAGTTCACTTCATTCATTCTGGCTGCTGTTTACATCCCACCATGCGTGGACGTGCACGAGGCTGAGCGCGCGCTCGCGAACCAGATTATGAGTGTAGAGCGGACTTTTCCGGACTCCCTTGTTATTATCCTTGGAGATTTTAACAAAGCAAACCTCAGGCATGAACTACCTAAATATAAACAGTTTATTAAATGCCTGACCAGAGAGGGGAACACGCTGGATCACTGTTACACCACAGTGAGCGGTGCTTATCATGCTGTGCCTCGTGCTGCCCTGGGTCTCTCAGATCATGAGATGATTCACCTCATACCTGCATACAGACAGAGACTGAAGCTCTCAAAACCTGTGGTGAGGACACCCAAAAAGTGGACCAGTGAAGCTGTGAAGGAGCTACGCACGTGTTTGGACACCACAGACTGGGACCTGTTCAGGGCTTCTACAGACAGTCTAGACAAATACACAAACACTGTGACGTCATATATACATTTCTGTGAGGATAGCATCATCCCATCACGCTCCAGAGTCATTTTCAATAATGATAAACCCTGGTTCACATCCAAACTAAGACAGCTTCGTCAGCAGAAGGAGGCTGCTTTCAGAGAGGGGGACAGAGACAACTACAGACGTGCAAAGTATGGATTTAGCAGGGAGGTGTCGAAGGCTAAATCCAGGTACAACACACGGCTGGAACAACAGTTCTCTGCAAACGACTGCCTCTGTCTGGAGGGGGCTGAAAGAGATAACTAATTACAAGCCCAGAGCACCTCATTCTACAGACAATCTCAAACTGGCAAACTATCTGAACAACTTCTATTCTATATAGACAGGTGATCCTTGATGAGTGGACGCTGGCGCATTTTGCCGCCACTGCTCGTCGGTAAACTTTAGACATTTTATTTCCTTTTCTGCAAATTTTTTAACCGTCTTGTGATCGCTAATCGACGGTTACTACATTTGCCTGCCTTCAATCCAGCTTTTACCACACTGTGATTGTGTGCTATCAAGTCAAATGATATTGGCTTACCTGTCAAACACCGACCAGCTTCATGCCCTCATTTGACTCCTTCGCCTCACGATGTGGAGCAGTCATTTTTATGCCTGGTTTCTACTTGTATGGACTCTCCTGTCACTCCTCACTGAACCTGTGGCAGTTCTACAATATTCCGCTGATGAACTTCTTCGGCTGTGTTGGCACCAGCCCAATCCTTCGCCGGTGATGTTGTATCTCCACCCAGACATTGCTTTCCTGCCCTGCCGGAGATACATCCACCGTGGGTCTCACCGTAACTTCCAGCTCGACAGGTCAAAACCCATCCACTCATTTTGGACCAACAACCATCGAGCTCCCAGAAAAGCCACCCGGTCTTCAGATCGCAACATGTTAGCCAGCCTAGCCAGGTCAGCTAACCCATCTGCTAACTCCACGTCTGTCAACTTTGGTCTGCTCAACATCCGTTCTCTCACGGAAAAAAGGACATCACATCCAGGATCTCCTCACCGACTGTAAGCTTGACTTTCTCTGTTTGACAGAAACTTGGCTACAATCTCTGGACTTTTCACGACTCAATGACTCCACTCCACTTGGCTTTGTTTACATCTCTCAACCCCGCAGCTCCGGTCGCGGGGGTGGTCTCGCGATAATTCATTGCGAGAGTTGGAAGGTTTTGCCTGTGAGTGTTCCTGAGGTCAGCTCTTTTGAGAGCGTTGTGTGTAAACTGTCTGGACCCACCCCCACCATCATTGCCACTGTTTATCGCCCCCCAAGACCTCACAAAGATTTTTTAAATGAATTTTCTGCCTTTCTTTCTCAACTGTCTGCCATGTCACCTAATATTATTTTATTGGGAGATTTTAATATCCATATTGACAATCTTAACCTTTCACTCACCAATGATTTTCTATCCTGCATGGAGAGTTCTGGATTAAATATACATGTTGATTTTTCCACCCATATTAAAGGACATACACTGGACTTGATTTGTTGTTCTGGACTTACACTTGTTGACTGCAAATACGATGAACTCACCTTTTCTGACCATTTTTTCCTTTCATTCCATATTCCTCTGTGTGTT